TGTCGTATGAGTGTAGCAGGAACAGTCCCACAGTGTCGTATGAGTGTAGCAGGAACAGTCCCACGGTGTCGTATGAGTGTAGTCAGAATCAACTCGACGACATCCAAAAACAACTGTGAGCTGGCAGTGGCTGGGGAGACAGAGGAGCACATGTCTTGGCTGAAGAAGGCGACCTCTGCAAAGGTACCTGCAGAATCCTGTGCCCAATGGGGACCGAGACTTCTAACCACTCAAGAGGATTCAGAATTTCAGGCTTTTATGTTAAACTTCCTAAGTGTTGTTAGGTGACGTCAAGTCAGTTCCAGCTCATAGAGACACTCCGCACAAAAGACTGAAACCCCGCACAATTCTGCCTCATCTTCCCAATAAATGCTATGTTTGAGCCCATTCTTGTTACCGTAGTGTCAATCCATCTCTGAGGGTCTTCCTATTTTTCAGTGACCCTCCATTTTACCAAACATGATGTCCTTCTCCAGGGACACGTTCTTCCTAATAATATGTCCAAAGTATGAGAGAGGAAGTCTCAACATTCTGACTTCTGAGGAGCATTCGGGCTAGACTTCTTTCAAAACAGATTTTGTTTGTTCCGGCAGTCCATGGTACTTTCAATATTCATGTCCAACATCGTAAGTCAAAAGCATCAAGTCATCTACAGTCCAACTTTCTTATTCACTGTCCAACTTTCACGTGCATATGAGGTGACTGAAAATACTATGGCTCAGATCAGGCACATCTTACTGCTCAAAGTGACATTTTTGCTTTGTAACACCTTAAAGAGGTCTTTTCCAGCAGACCCCATATTTGGTTTATTGCTGCTAACTCCATGAGCACTGATTGTAGATCCATTTCTCACGATGCTAGATATTGATCTGGTGGCTCCATTATGGAAAGCATTGGACTAAGGACCACTCCACAGGGGAATGATGAGGCTTTCTCATGCTGCAAAGATGTGAAACCCTGTACAGGGTCACTATGATTCAGAAGTGACTCAACACTTAATAATGGTATTAACGTTTATTGATCCGGGTATGAGGGTTTTTCCTCTTTACATTGAGGTACAACCCATACCGAACACTGCACTCTTTGATCTTCATCAGTTAAGTTTGTCAAGCCCTCCTGGCTTCCAACAAGCAGGTTTGTGTCATCTGCGTATCACAGGTTAACGTGTTAATGAGTCTTCCTTCAATCCTGATGCCATGTTCTTCATATAATCCAGCTTCTCTGATTATCTGCTCATCATACAGAGTGAATAAGTATGAGGAAAGAGTACAGCCTTGGCGCATACCTTTCCTGATCTTAAATCGTTCAGTGACCTTTGATCCTGTTTGTGTCTTAGTCTATGTACAGGTTCTTCAGGAACACAATGAATTGTTCTGGAATTCCCATTCTTCGCAATGTTGTCCATAGATTGTTATAAGCTACACAGTCGAATGCCTTTGCATAGTTAATAAAGCACAAGTCAACTTCTTTCTGGTATTCTCTGCTTTCAGCCAAGAATGTTAAGTGTTGATAAGTCATATAATTTACTTTTCAGCACTATGAAGACCAACCCTAACTAACAGGTCTGAGGGTCAGGCTGCCACCTGTCAGACCCTTGTTAGGCCCTTTCATTTCTGCTTTGAACACTTTTGTTGAGACCATGTGGTTTCAATAGTTGGAAGGCATGCTGACATCAAGGGAGGACCTTTTTTGGGGGGAGAGGAGCTATGGACTTTGATACAATTATCTAGGAGACACATGTTCCAAGTGAACTCTAGTGGTCGGATGAGTGGGGCGAGGCCCATTTCTTCAGATTTGCACAGTTACACAAGTCTCTGTCAAGCAGCAGCACATACTGGGCCTGGGGGATAGCAGCTTCCCAAGCAAACTGAGAGGCTAGAAATGTTGGCGGGTGATATATGTTCCATGGATCACAAAAGGGTTAAACATATTTTCTTTCCATCCTCACCGTCTGAGTAGGGCTTCCACTTCATGTTCTCAAAGGGTGAAATACCGTACCCAACGTCACCCAGCAGGCGGGGTGCTTGCTCTCTGAGGGCCTGGCTCATTGGCCGGGCTGACAATGCAGGTCTCAACAACTTTCTTAAATCAGTTTTTGATGAATGAATGTGAAGGATGTAATGTCAACTCAGCAAAATACAAACACGGAATCAAGTCCACATTTTCCAGACTGTGCTGTGTCGTGAGATGGACCACTAAGGGAAGTCTTCACTTGTCACCGCTTGTCACTGCCTCTCAGTCACCCCAGGTTAAATCCTCTCACCCAAGACCACTCCTGCTCTTTATTTGTACGAGGGAGCTTCAAACGTTTGTGGAAAGGAGGAATAAAAAACTATGGCATTTAATGGTCAACCATTCAAGGTCAAAAGGGCAGCACTGACATAAAGACCAAACTTAGAAAGCTTGGTAAAGAGGAACCCCAGGGAGGTGTTAGCATAGCTGATGTTCCATGGAGGGGATCCAATCACTGAAATGAAACGAAGCGTGTGATTTTTGGAATGGAAATCTGATGATGAGCTCTGTAAGTCTTCACTCAACTCATAATAAAAAGCTAAAGCAAAGGAATAACTGAAATCTATCGTATATGTAGATACAGCACAAGGAATGCTGATCATATTCCATATTTGTTGGTGCTGCAGTTTAATGTTTACACATCTTAAATAAAATGGTTCATATTAAAATAAAAAAAGATGATGGAATTTTCCCCACAAACTTTTTGAAGACCCCTCTTAAATCTCATCAATGTCTGTCACTCCTAATAGACTGGTAAACTTGCTTGCTACAGAGATTTTTCATATTTTTGTAAATCCCAAGAATCAGCACAATGCCTGGCCCAAATAAAGAGATTAAGAAACACTTGCTGAATGATTCAATGAAGGGAGAAGCCAACAGGGGCCGTGTAAAGGCCCCATTCAAATCAGCTGACCCAAGACACCACCAAAAATGGCAGGAAGTTTCTGGGAACCTTTCAGGGACTCTAATGCTGTGATTCAAATCAAGATCCACTCCTTGGAAACCCTATACAGGGTCTCCATGTGTCGGAACTGACATGATGGCACTTAACAACAACATTTTCTTGCTGAATAACAACAAGGCCTGCCAAACCATTAAACCCCAAATAACCAGAAGGGCAGGGGCCTCTGGTAATTGTATTCGGGCCAGTAATTGCATTCCATGCTGGTTATCTCCAGCAACAGGATCACATTGCACCCACTTCTTCAGATTCAACAAGAGAGTCAATGCCCCAGGGGAGCCCAGCCCTCTCATCTCTGTGGGTTCTGCCCGAGAACCTGACTGCAGAGACAGAACACTCCTGAAACAGGCTTGTAAAAACACATTAAACTCATCTCAAATATGCCTGTTGAGTTCATGCTGCGGCAGGTACAATGGCAGACAAGATGTTCGACAGACAAGGTGCCCACCACAGGAGCTCAGCATGAGGAAGAGCTTGTGTAAGAGAAACTTAGGCTGTGGGGGTACAGGGCAGAAACACAAGAGGCTGGATGACCTGCAGCTAAGACACAATGTGGAATGCTAGGAAAGAAAACAAGAGAGACATGTGGGGCCTTAAGCTGGGCCAGTCTCCACAGACGTCATCAGACTGGCCAGCTTATATTTTCCTTTAAGTGAAGCCTGAAGGCTTCTGCAGACCTAAGCATGCTGTTTAGACCATAGATGTGTGCGAATATAAAAATTGAGATTTTACATCAAAATGCAGAGTCCCATCTTCTCTGGTAATGTAAGAAGACTTCCATATTCCTACAAAACAAGTGCTAGCCAGGGTAGAAGAGCTCACTGAAGAGGTGTCAAGAGTCCAGTTTGCCACAGTCTCCACCATTCCCTACTGCCTCACACAAACCAGCTTCATTCAGAGATGCCCCCTGCCCAACGTCTATGGATATGTGTGCCATTGGGTTTACAAAACACTTCCCCACAGATTCTTTCATTCTGTCCTGATACCAGTGTCTTTAAGCAACGCAAGGTAAAGCCCAGCGTGGTACAAGTTCATGTTCACATAGCATATGATCAGTCAAATCCATTATCACCAGCTGCTCCTCAGAAACCCTGTACAGGGACTCTGTACAGGCTCGCTATGAGTCGGATCCCAACTCGACGGCACTTAGCAACAAGCAACAACTCCTGGGTGTAAATCTCAACACTCTGAATCAAACCACGTCAAGTCTATGTCTACTCCTGGCAAGCCCAGAGTAGCACGGCGTCCCACAGGGTCTTTGGTGGCTGACCAGCTGATGCACCTTCCTTGCTGTGTGAGCAGAACGTTGGTATCTGATTTTAGAGAACAGCACATGCTAACCGAATGAGCCAAGGCTGCTCATGAAGGTCGAGAAACAGTCCCAAAGACGATCACTTACAGAACTTCTCTGAACGTCCTGCTCCATCTTGGTGTGCATCTCAGATGGGTCTCCATTGAGAATGACCTCAGCGAGCGAGTTTACCAGGGGTGCATGATGGATGATTAGGAAGACCTGGTGGAAAAAGCAGAGATGAGATTTGTATTAGAGTCTGCAATTTTTCAGCCTCTCCCTTCCTCAAGCTGAAACAACAGAGTTGGCTTACACATGTTCTGTCTTAAACAGCAATCACTGTGATACAAACTCCAAAGCACGGGCCACACTGAGAAGAAACAATCGCCACTGCTCCCTTCCTACAGACTGTTGCCCATTTGGCTGGCCACTCAGCACCGGAAGGAAACACATTAAAGTGAGACCATCCCTCATGGGTGGCTGAAGCCAAATCTGGCCAAAATGGAGCAACATAGGGAAGGAACAGCCAAACCAACACGTTCCTTCCTTTCCACAGGCATTTTTTATGTCAAATTTGATTATGATAAGACCAGGAGGCTCCGTCCCAAACTGCAGTTCTATGGGAAAGGGGTGGGCATTCCTGCTCCCATCTAGGACTTGGCAAAGGGTGGGTTCTCTGCATGCCATTGCGGGAATGGGCTCGGACCTCTTTGGCGACTTTCAGCACACTGAGTCTCATGGCAGCTATGAGAGGCATAAAACTAGGGGGAAGGTAAACCACAGGCACTAGCGGTCCATCCAGTCACACCGGGATGCAAAGTCAGAAGGCACCGGGCTGTCTGCTACACTGCCCTGTTGCCCAATACACAAGGACACGGCTACAGCAATCGGCAAGCAGACGTGGCCAGCAAAGCTGGCTCAGACACACCTGCTGTATTGTTGGAAAAGGGAAAGGCAGCAAGGGGCTGTTGTGTGCACTGCAGGATGTTTAGCAGCACCCCTGGCCTTTACCCACTAAATGCCAGAAATACCCTTTCCCGGGCTGTGTCAACACCGGTTGTCATCAGACATTGCCCAGTGCTCCCTGGGGCGGGGGGGGGAGGGAGACGGTAGTGAGAGTGTCCCTGAATGAAAATCACTGGCACAGAGCATCTCTGGAAGGACACAAGCGAAATGTCACTGCAATTATCTCTGGGGGAGCCCACAGGGTTGTTTCCGGGACCTGTCACTGTGGTTGTCTCTGGGGAACCAGTCACTGGGGCTTGTCTCTAGGGAGCCTATAATTATAGTTGTCTCTGGAAATCTGTCACTGGAATTATCTCTGGGGACCTGTCACTGTGGTTGTCTCTGGGGAGCATGTTACTGGGGATGTCTCTGGGAATCTGTCACTGGAATTATCTGGGGATCTCTCACTGTTGTTTGTCTTTGGAGAACCTGTCACTATGGTTGTCTCTGAGAAACCTGTCACTGGTGTTGTCTCTGGGGACCTGTCACTGTGGTTCTCTGGGGAACCTGTCACTGGTGTTGTCTCTGGGGACCTGTCACTGTGGTTCTCTGAGAAACCTGTCACTGGTGTTGTCTCTGGGAACCTGTCACTGTGGTTCTCTGGGGAACCTGTCACTGGTGTTGTCTCTGGGTTAGCTGCCACTAGTCTCTGAGAAGACAGACTAGCAGACTGACCAAGGTGGAAAGAAAACTTGATTTTCACATGTTTGAACATTTAACTTTAAAATAATTTTTAACAAAAAAAGAAAATCGATTTTGTTAATAAACAGTTCCGTCAGCAACTGGTAACACTGGTTGCCTCTATGGAGTGGGACACGGTGCCTGGGGACCTTGGTGAGAGGGAGGCTCTTCCCTGTATGTCATTGTGCAGGATTTCAAAAGGGTGAACACATGTTCAAATAACAAACACAAGCCCAGGGAAATAAAAAGGTACAGGCAGAACAGCCAAAGGTGGTGCCGACCCAACAAAAGCACACCTGTGTTTTAACTTCAGAGAAACGTTATCATAGGATGGAAAGAGGGACCCGCCCCCAGGGCTGTGGCCGACACTCAGAGTCAGCTCCTCTGAGGATGCAGAGGAATTACCACCATACTTCACCCAACAACAAAACCAAACCCCAAATCGCTGAGTTCATTTCTTCCACAAATGTTCACCATGCCTTCTTAAGTCACTTCTTATTTCTATTCCACCAGTGAGCACCTACTGAGGCCTAGCAGACAACAGCGAGTCGTGTCTGTGCGCATGTGCAGCGCTGGTCCAGTCACCGAGGGAGGGCCTGGTTACAGCGTGTCCCCTGGCACAGTGTTCAGGCCAAGCTGGCCACCCCATTCTTACGGCTGGGGCCGTCCAGTTTCAGTCGGGCAGCGTCACCTGTCCTGCTATCTCGCAGTGGCTACTGGGAAGTGTACTGCTTTGGCAGCTGTGCTTGTGACGTAGCTGTATGTATGTTGCACTTTCTACTGACACGCAGGGGCTTTCCAGCGTCGTGATTGCTTTCATATGACTCTTCTACCCCGAGTCTTTGTAACTCCCACCACACAACACTTTTTTCCTGATGGGTCTGGGTAAGAGATGGTGAGAGAAGATACGGACGGGCTTCTGAGACTCAACTGTGACTGTTAACAGGGCTAATTGTGATTATAAACACCTGTCCTCTAGCAGCGGTATAAAAAGAGCCATCTCACTCTAGACAAGGAAGAGCCACGAGTGCAGCACATCCTTTGGACCCCGAGCTCCTGTGTACTGAACTTCGGTGAGACCACAGGAGTAACAGAGGAGCAGCAACAGCAGAAGCAAGTGCCAGGGCCCAGCCCATGGAGCAAGGGCAGCTGAGTATCTCTGGGCAGGAGCCTTGCCTCCAGACACTTAAATGGGGAAGCTAGGTTTGCTGACCCAGGGAGCGGGAGTCGCGTGCCTTCAGACTGAGGCTTATGGTGGAGTGGTGTGTCCTGTGGGCATCCAGCAGAACCCTAAAGAAGCTCTGTAACACTGCCCAGGCAGAGAGAGGTCGCGGGCTTTCTGTTCACTTCCCTAATAAAGCGTGTAACTGTGAATACTGTCTAAGTTCCGGGTGGCCACTGCCACAAGCTAGTATACCCAGTATGAGTGGAACGTGCTGTGGGAGGAATGGCTGGGGTCATTTTTTACAGACTAAGAGGGTCGTTGAGGACAAAGGATTTACACCCAGATTTTGGTTTTCCTACACTTAGACAATGTTACAATTAAACTCAATAGAAATGTGGTGGGAGGGATGAAAGGCAGAGTTTTTACATTTAAAGGGGGACAATTTTACTGAAGTTTGTGGAATAGTGACTTACAAGGTATGATTTCAGGAAGATACTGAAACAATTACCTAAGTGCCTGAGTTCCTGGCCCTTCATGAAGAAAACAGGAAAATGCTTCCCAAAGAAAGGAAGGCTTGGCCCCTCTCCCCTCGAGTACAGCGGGGGTGGGTGGGGGGGCTGGCAGCTGAGCTCCTGGGAGGAGAGTCCTTGCCCCTGCAATGCTGAAGAGCTGAAAGGGTGCTGACGATACTGCCACAGGATTCATGTGGTCATACAGCTGACCAGGCCAGTCCTGCCAGACTCCCAGAATCCCACGCAGGGGATGCTGGAGGAATCGTCAGGAGTTAGCAGACAAAGCTGCCAGGAGAAGCGAGGGTTTGTGCCGGATTCTGCCGCACAGAGGGGCATTCAGACAGAGTGTTGAGTAAACAGCTCTAAGAGTGAGACTTGGGACTCAAAAGTGCCTAAGCCACACCAGGTCCTGGTCTTACCTACCCTCTGGAAGGAGCTCTCTCTTCTTGGGCCAACCGTAGACAGCCCCACCCAGGACTCAAACCAAGTCCAGAGATGGAGTTAGAAGGGTCTGCTCGGATCAAAGCAAATACATGCCTGTGCCGGTGCAGAAGTGGAAAGCAAACTCTGCTCCAACGTTTGAGTACTTGACAGTCTGGAGATGGTTCCAGAGTCTGGGCTGCTCATAATAAAAATATTTTTACAGTTATGCAACTAGGTCACCATGGAGTTTTTCCCTTTTTGTAAATATTGCATAATTATGAGAAGGAAGCACGCTTGTTTAAGTGGGGGAGGCAGACAAATTGGCTCAAGACACCCATTTGGAAGCTGAGGCTGCTACAAGATACCTTCCAGAAGGTAGTGTGGGAGCTAGAGCCACAAGAAGAGCCTTCAAAAGCAGCTGTGTCAGGACATCTGTCACACTGAGGGGCTGTGTGTCTGACCACTCAGCAAGCACAGGGTCCTGTGGTTTGGGGGCAGTTTCAAAATGCCGTGAATGACTCACACAGCCCACAACTCCAAGGTGCTTAGTTGGTGCACTCCCTCCTTGTTCTAGAAACCTCTGTCCCACTGACAAAATCAACTACATCTGTGCTGGGTTTGATGTATTTTTTCTTCTCTATTAACTTCCACTTGGGAAGATATGAGCTACCTCTAGCTGGTGTTCTTGAATATAGAACTGCCCTGTTTGTTTCGTGTTCTTTTCTTTTCCAGGTGGGGAGCACCATGACCTGGGAGGTTTCTGAGAGGCAGCGGTGTTCTAAGGAGCCTTCACCTGAGCTAGAGACACAGCTGAGGGACCAACGTACCTGGGAGAGAAGATAGAGAGAAACAGGAAGGCTGATTTTCGGGCGTTCTCCTCCCTGGGGAAGGTGGGAGAGAAAGAGAACAAGGACCACGTCATTCAAATGAGCCATACACACTACATGCCACCCAAAGCTCTGGAGAAGCAAGGGCTCCCTGCCCCCTTCTCCCTGGTCCCAGGAGGCCGTTTGTGTGCCAGTTGCTTTTCCACATGAGAACTCTCTCCTCATTAGTCACGGATTAAAGGCGGGGCCCAACAGAAGAATTAGACCCTTAAATTATTGAGAATGTTGAGTTCCCCCAGTTTGAGTGGCATAGGGGCCCCTGGGGGCCTGTTCTCAGGAATGGGCTTTCAAAGCATGAGGCCAGGAAAAGGCTTGGGTCACTCTGGCCTCATGTGCACTAGCTTTCAATGGGCCCCATCTCACACCAACCCTGTCGGGGAGCATTACGACCAGTATTTTGCAGCCTCATTTTGAAACAGGTTTAGGGAGGTTCATTGCCTTGTCCAAGGTCACATGGCTATGGGGGAGGGGTGGAGAAAAACACACACAAACTCACTGGCATATCAATTCCAACTCAGAGTAACCCTGCATAGGGTTTCAAGGGTCATCTTTCTGCCACTGATGGGCTTGAACCACCAACCTTGTGGTTAGCAGTCCAATCATACCCTACAGCACCACTGAGCAGGTACAATTTGAACACAGATCTGGGAACTCCAATTCTCCTGCTTTTTCACCCCGCCACCCCACCCCAGCTGCTTCTGGTCGATCTAATGAGGGCTGCAGTTCCCTTTTATTTAACTGTCTACAGATTCCTGTGAGAGTTCCCATGTCGATCTCCAAAAGGAAAATTACGCCCCCTGGGGATAGAGATGGGGAGGCAGAAGTCCCAGTAGAGGAAGGCAAGCTGCTGGCTCTGCCCTGCCCTCGTCTGGGAGCCCCGGCTGGCTTCCTCTGTCCCCCCACCCCATGCCCTAAGCCTGAGAGATGCTGGGCGGAAGCCACCCCTCCCTAAAGCGGCATTTCTCATACGGGGATCCCAAATCACCTAGGGGGGCAGGTGAAAAATGCAGCTTCCTGGTCCCAGCCCAGACTCACTGAGCCAGATGGAGGGGGCAGGGGTGGCAGGCCTGAGGGTCTGCATAGCACCCCTCAAGGACCCGAGGTCGGCTGAAGAGGGGACTCCCGCCCACTGCTCTGCATCTGTTCATGGGTGGGCAGGGCCATCCATTCCCCTCCCCCTGGAGACCAGTTTGTCTGGATCTTCTCCAAGTCAATGAGCTCTGGCAACGATCTGGAAAAGTGACTAGGGATGAATACACCTCAAAGGGAGGGGCACAGAAACCAAAAACCCAAACTCGGAGAGGTTTCCTATTTCCTCCTGATGTCAGTAACTGTCTTCTGTCATTCACACTCACACAACACTCTCCCTTTCCCCCTTTAGACGATGCCCTCAAGTCCACAGAAGCCCTGCGCCCAGCCCCATTGCAGCCCTGGACTCACTTTGTCCTGGTTCTCCAGCGAGTAGACGTACAGGGGCAGAAAGAGCCTGTTGAGCAGGTGGTCGGTGAGCACATCGTTGAGGAACTCACAGTTGATGATGAGGATGTCATTGAGATAGTGCAGGTGGTCCAGGTGTTCAGCCACGAGGTCACTCAGTTTACCCCGATTCCTGTGCCTGCAGGGAGAAGGTAAACTCGGTGGGAAGCCAAAGCCCAGGGCTCTCAGGCCATGGGGAGTACGTTCCATTCTCAAGCCAGCTGCCCTGGCCCCTACTGATGGGAAACAGAGAAGATGACAGTCCCCTGTAATTGATTTTAGGAGACTCCTGGGAGCCCCACATCTTAGTGAGGTCTCAGTATAGCTCAACAGGCCCACGGTCCCAAACAAACGGGCAAAACAGGGCACACGGCAGCTGCATGGCTCTCAGCAAGTCATTTCACAAGAGTAGCCACTAGCCAGTGTGGGAAGCTCCCCTGGCTCCCAAGATAAGCACTATTAATGGAGCAATAAATCCTTGCTAATTAAAATGCTCCCGAGGCGTTGTGAGGAGAACAGTAGGCCTCAGCAGCCGCATCCTTCCCATCAGCCAGCCCCAACCACACTTAGCGCACCGGCAAGGACAAGACACCCCCTGACCAGACGCCGGCCCAGAGCTTTCCGTCTCCTGGCAGCTCAGCTACAGCCTATGGGGTGGGCCCCTTGGGTGGACTCTATCTTAAACCCCAAAAGAATAGAACCCCCAAAATAGCCAGTGGTCACAATTGGAGAATCCCCAATGCATTATCTCTTAACAAAGAACAATCAACTGAAGGAGAGACCGTTTGTATTATTACTCTAAAGTAATTGTTGTTAAGTGCCTCGAGTCAGTTCCAATTCAGAGGGACCCTTTACAGGGTTTCCAAGGAGTGGCTGGTGGGTTTGAACCACCACCATTGCAGTTCCAACCAAAAATAATAAGTCAATACAAAATTCAAGAATAAAAAGTTTCCAATAACCCACTACTAACAGATAGCCCCTCGTCCACTTGTCTGTCAGTTTGTTATACTGTGGGGGCTTGTGAGTTGCTGTGATTCTGGAAGCTATGCCACAGGTATTTTAAATACCAGCAGAGTCACCCACGGTGGACAGGTTTCAGCTGAGCTTCCAGACAAAAGAGTAGGAAGGAGGAAAGACGGACTACTTCCAAATATTCTGTCACTGAACACCTTCTGAATAGCAGTGGAACACTGTCAGGACCAGAATACTGAATACTGAAACATGATGAAGAGCACCAGAATACTGCCAAATATACTGCCAGAAGATGAGCCCCTCAGGTTGAAAGGCACTCAAAATACAACTGAGGAAGAGCTGCCTCCCCAAAATAGAGCTGCCCATGATGGTGCGAATGAAGTAAAGCCCTCGGGACCTTCATTTGCTGATGGGGCACAACTCAAAATGAAGAGAAACAACTGTAAACATCCATTAATAATTGGAACATGGAATGTACGAAGTACGAATCCAGGAAAATTGGAAATTGTCGAATATGAACTCGAATACATAAACAATGATACCCTAGGCGTTAGTGAGCTGAAATGGTGGTACTGGCCTTTGTGAATCTGACAATTACATGGTTTACTACGCTGGGAATGATACATTGAAGAGGAATGGCACTGCATTCATCATCAAAAAGAACTTAAGATCTGTCATGAGGTACAATGCTGTCTGTGATAGGCTAATATGCATATGCCTACAGGGAAGACCAGTTAATACCACTATTATTCAAATTTATGCATCAACCAATGAAGTCAGTGATGAGTTAACTGAAGAATTATACCAACTTCTTCAGTATAAAATGATCAAACATGCAATCAAGATACACTGATCATTACTGGCAACTGGAATCCGAAGGTTGGAAACAAAGAGAAAGGATCAGTATTCTGAAAAAAAAAATGACCTTGCTTATGGAAACAATGCTGGAGATCACATAATAGATTCTGGAAGACCAATGACTTCTTCATCGCAAATACCTTTTTAAAATAATGCAAACTATACACTGACCTCATCAGATAGAATATGCAGAAATCAAACTGACTACATCTGTGGAAAGAGACGGTGGGAAGGCTCCATTTCATGAGTCAAAACAAGGCCAGAGGTAGACTGTGGAACAGACCATCAATTGCTCATATGCAAATTCAGGCTGAAGCTGAAGAAAATTAAAACAAGTCCACCAGAGCCAAAATATGACCTTGAATATATCCCACCTAAATTTACACATCATGTGAAGAACAGATTTGATGCATTAGACACTAAAGACCAAAGACCAGAAGAGTTGTGGGATGACATCAAGAACATCAGATAGGAAGAAAGCAAAAGTCATTGAGACGACAAGAAAGAAAGACCAAAATGGATGTCAGAAGAGACTCTGAAACTTGCTCTCCAGTCCAGCGATGGTAAAACAAATGGAAGAAGTGAGTAGGAACAAGAGCTGAGCAGAAAATTCCAAAGGTCAGCTTGAAAAGACAAAGTCCAATATTAAAACACAATGTTCAGAGACGTGGAGTTGGAAAACCAAAAGGGAAGAACACAATCAGCATTTCTCAAGCTGAGGGAACTGAAGGATTCTATGAGCAAAACACTGCACGATGCAGAAAGCATCCAAAGAAGATGAAGGCTGTTCTCCCAGGTAAACTATGACATAATTCACAATAAAAATTTAAAAATAAACTGATGTGGCAGACAAATACCTGGTGAAGTGACTGGAAGAGATCCATATATGTGCCCATTTAAAAGAGAGGTAACACAATGGAATGTGTAAATCACTGGACAATATCATTGATAGCCCATGCAAATAAAGTTTTACTAAAGATAACAAACATAAAACATGGCTGCAAGCAGACAGAGAACTTCCAGAGGTTCAAGCCGGATTCAGAAGACAATGTGGGACGAGTTATATGACTGCTGATGTTAGATGGACCTTGGCTGAAAGCAGAGAATACCAGAAGGATGTTTATCTGTGCTTTACTAAATATACAAAGGCTTTCAAATTGTGTGGATCATGACAAGCTATGAACAACATTGGGGAGAATGAGTATTCCAGGACACTTAATTGTGCTAACAAGGAACCTGTACATAGACCAAGAGGCAGTTGTTTGAATAGAACAAGGAAACATCAAATGTTTTAAAATTAGGAAAGGTGTGTACCAGGGATATATTCTTTCACCATACTTATTTAATCTGTATGCTGAGTAAATAATCCGAGAAACTGGATTATATGAAGAAGAACATGGCATCAAGATTGGAGGAAGACTTGTTAACAACCTGCAATATGCAGATGACACAACCTTGTCATCTTGCTGAAAGCAAAGAAGACTTAAAATACTTACACAGAAGATCAAAGACCACATAGCCTTCAGTATGGGTTGTACCCCAATGTAAAGAAAATAAAAATCCTCAGCACTGGACCAATAAACAATCTCCATATAAACGGAGAAAAGATTGAAGTTGTCAAAGACTTCATTTTGCTCAGATCAACCATTACCATTCATGGAAGCAGCAGCCAAGAAATCAAACAATGTAATGCATCAGACAAATCTGCAGTAGAAGGCCTCTTTCAAGTGTTCAAGAGCAAAGATGTTAGTTAGTTTGAGGACTAAGGTGCGCCTGACCCAAGCCATGGTATTTTCAATAACCTCATATGCATGTGAAAGTCAGACAATAAATAAGGAAGACTTAGAAGAATTGATGCATTTGAGTTATGGTGTTGGAGGAGAATATTGAAAGTACCATGGACTGCCAGAAGAATAAACAGATCTATGTTGGGAGAATGGAGTCCTGGTGTGGCGCTGTGAGTTAATGCGTCGGACTGCAAAGCCGTTTGAACTACATGGTCAGTGGTTCAAGCTCACCAGTTGTTCCTTGGAAACCCTATACAGGGTTGCTATGGGTTAGAACCAACTCGACGGCACTTAACAACAACAATGTTGGAAGAAGTGCAGCCAGAGTGCTCCTTGGAGGCCACGATGGCCAGACATCATCTCTCATACTTCGGATGTATTGTCAGGGGGGACCAATCCCTGGAGAAGGGTATCATGTTTGGTAAGGTGGAGGGTCAGAGAACAAGATGAAGACCCCCAGCAGGATGGACTGGCACAGCAGCAACAGATATGGGCTTAGTGGTAGCAGTGATTGGCTCAGGACCAGGCAGTGTTTTGTTCTGTTGTGTATAAGGTCACTGTGAGTGGTACCAACTCAATGGCACCCAACAACAACAACAAACAGATGCCCACAAAGGGCATACTGGTATTTTGAACCCTACAATTTGTTTTAATATTTTTATATTCCCTCCCTATACCAAAAAAAGGAGTCCTGGTGTGGCATTGTAGGATAAGCACAGGACCACAAGGTGGATTTGAACCACAAGGTCAGCAGTTCAAACTCACCCTTCGTTCTGTGGAAACCCTATACTGGGTCACTAGGAGTTGGAACCAACTCTATGGCACTTTAACAATAACATACCAAGAAAAAATAAACAAAAACCCATGCTCTCGAGTCGATTCCGACTCACCGTGACCGCATAGGACAGAGCAGAGCTGTCTCAGCAAGTTTCCAAGGCTGTGCTCTTCCTCCCATGGAGAGACTGCTGGGTTCTAACCACAGCCCAAAGCTGGGCCTGCTGCACCACAGGGCTCCCGGAACCAAATAGGAACTAGGGTTTCATTTCCCTTCCATTTGACTTTTGGTTCTTTCTGGAGCTGAATGCCTCAGCATGTCCCACAGCCACGGTCTTCGGTACCCTCACATTCTTATTGTTGCCAGAGACACCCCCCACCCGTCAGATCTGCCAGCTCTCTAGCCTTACTTCTCTCCCAGTACCAGGTGGAATCCTCTAGCCCCCTTTAGCATCTCCGGAAGACCCCTGCAGGTATGTTCTCACCACACCTGTGAAAAGCTGTCGCACTGGGACAGGATTTCTTAATCAGGGACCAGTTTATCCCCAAGAGGACACGGGCCAATGAACAGAACATTTCTAGTTACCACAACTGGGGATGGGGGTACTAGTGACACCTAATGGGGAGAGGCCAGGAATGCTGCTCCACATCCCGTAATACACAGGGCAGCTCCCTCCCCAGCACAGAATCTCAGCAGTGCCTTTGCTGAGAAATCCTGCTCTGGGGTTTCTACTTGTCACTCTGGGGACAAAATCATCACCTTAACTTTTTACTTTCTTTCTTTTTTTTTTTTTTTTTAACAAAGATAATGTATTGTGATATAATTCACATACCATAAAATGCACCCATTTCACAATGGACAATTCAATGATTTTTAATACAAAGGGGCTTCAAAAAGTGTGGAAAACAAGGTCCGCAGCCGCTCCTCTGAGACCCTACGCAGGGTCACTATGAATCAGGACTGACTCAATGGCACTAAACACCACCACCAAGCACAGGAACAACAGCAACCCTTAGTCCTACTATTTCCTGAGCAAAATGCATTTCCGTGTTGCTATTTTGTGCCGTCCAGTTAGGTCTGATTCACAGACATCCTATATAGGGTTTCTGGGAGTACATGGTGGGTTTGAACAGTTGACCATAGGGTTAGCAGTCCACTGCTGATCCTACAGAGCCACAATATTTCCTAACATCAACTTTTTTTCTCCTGCAGTCCTCAGGTGCAACTTCAAAAAAAAAAAAAAAATTTTTTTTAAGGCTGTCTTCTGCATGATATGATAGTTACTTCCATATTTAAGATACAATTCTCTTCTAAAAATATAAATGTTAAATGAAAAAATAAGTGTGCAAAACGGAATTGAAAGACAGTGGAATTTTTCTATGAACTTTTTGAACCCCTCTTTTATATTCAGAATTGGGCAACATCACCACAATGAATTCCCATCAGCCCTCACCTCATTAGGAGCTGCCCCCATTGCTCTCCTCCAGTCTCCCTCACGCTCTAGGCCACCACCAAGCTGCGTTCTGCGGACACAGACTTTCCTAGCCTGCACATGTCCTATGAATGGAAGCCTCTTTCACTCTGGATATTTTCCCGCCTGCCCATGTTCTAGCAGACTTCAGTACTCTTAACTGTTGTACCAGCTGCCTAGGACTGGGTCGGGTCGAGCTCACCGTCCACTTCACAGAAGAAAGATGCAGCTGTAAAGAAAGCCTTTATAGTTCTCCTTTATCCTATAGAGTCACTCGGAGTTAGGATAGACTCGACAACACCACGTGGCGTTGGGATGGTTTGAGCAAACGTACTGTCAATGCGTGTGTCCTACTGCCTGAGTTGATTCCAACTTTCTACTGCTTTACACAACAGGTAGGTGGAACCTTCTGGTGTTGAGCAGTCCACACTCTGCCTACACACAGGTAGCTAAGTCTTGAAGTATGTGTGCTTCCTCACTGAAAACGGCACCCTCCTTCACCACTCTGCTACCTACCCATTAAGCCCTCCCCGCCCCGGGGGGTGTCACTCACTCCTCATCTGTCTGCACACAGTTGTCCAGTTCGATCACGTGGCTCCCAATGAACCAAACCAAATTGGAGAAGTAGGGAACGGCAGTTTTATCTCTGATATAGTGCAGCATTGCCTGGTTATCCACTGAGAAAATGCACAGAAAAGGGAGAGGAAAAAAAAGGTCAAGCTACCAAAAATAATGTGGGATAGTTTAAAAACAAAACAAAAACCCACAAGGAAAGCGCCCTCTACCATCATCCTGAATCTTTTCTGTCTTTCCTGGAAATACTTTCAAATGTTTATCTTGTCCACACAAGTGTCTTTATCAAGGCAGTTCTGAGGGGCTACTTTTATAGTTAACACAACACATTATTTGGGCTACACATGAAGAGTGTACTAAAAAGCCTATGGTAAAAACTAGACCATTCTCTAGTGTGTTTCCCGTGTTTACAGATAAGAATTAAGTTCAGAAAGCAGAAAATCAGAGGTTAATAACTTACATGACACTGGATAAGCAACACGGGAATCATCATGGAAGGAAAGGCAAAACCAGACAACAGTTAACAGAATTAGGAACGGAGATGGCGAGAGAGTTGCTCAGAGGGCTAGAGAACTAGGGCAGGAAGCATCTAGACAGAGAGATACCAGTTAGGAGAGAGCAAGAAGAGGCAGAGGACGGGAGGCCGTGGAGCCTCGAGTGAACCGGACTTGTAAACTCAGGACTTTGGAGGGCTTGGCCGATGACGCTGTGTGAAGCTGGCAGACCCGGCACGTGAACTGGGGTGCTGGGGTATGGACCCCACAGGGACAGCTACCCGGCACCAGCTGACCGTGGCCCTGCAGGGCTGTGGGGTCAGGATAGCTAAATGGCCACATCTTCAGGTCAGAAATCCACATTCTTACACAAGACCCCCCATTAAAAAAATACTGGAAACTATACTTCCCCTGTCCCCTCCCCCGCCCCCCCCAAAAAACCCACGGAAGCCCATTTAGATCTGTCAGAAGGCCATACTTGGTCATCAGACCCTGAGTTGGTGAACTCTGGGTGGGCCTGAGAAAGACTCTCCATTGTAACGTGCTCCCAAAACTCAGCTAGGGTGAAACTCGTCCCCCACAATGGGATCCGATCCTCGAGTAATGACCTCCCCAACGTGGGATGGTCAGAGACCATGGTCTCTGAGGCTGTGGTGGCTCAGATCCAGCAGGGGCACCACAGTGAACAGGACCCCAGCACTGGGCACACAGCTTTCAAGACAATGTCGTGACGGCAACTCCTGTTTGGGAAACAAAAGCCAGCCTTTGTGCCCACACTGGCAGGGAAGCACGGAAGACTTTGCTCCTGGAGCCAATGTTTTGGGGATTAAGTTCCTCTCTGGAAAGACAGGAGTTCATTAGTGGGGACGTTGCAACCAGCGCAAAGTGCAATGTTGCCCCCTGCTGTTTGTAATATGAACTGCCTTAATATGCGTTGTTTTAAGTGCCATCAAGTAGGTTAAGACTCATAGTCAAGTTACCCCGTCTGTATAGGGTTCCAGAGGAGTGGCTGGTGGGTTTGAACTGCCAACCTGTGATTAGCAGTGATTATCCTACAGTGCCGCACCAGGACTCTAGCTATACTGAAGTATATTTTATAAGTCAAAATGCACTTAAACAATAACCCTGCTTCAATCTAATGACTATGAAACCTGTGAGAGCTGGAACTTGATGGGCCTGACCTTGTTTGTTTGCATCCCACAAGACTTCCACCTTTGATGGGGTGCCATCTTACCACTTTCCTATTGCTCGTCTCAGTGGGAATATTTGAGAGCTCCTTCTCTGACAGGTTTCAGCCAAACACGGCTTCCAGTTTTCTCAGGTTTTACCAGATAGCAAGGTCACTCCAAATCTCACAGGGGCCTCTCCTAGGAGCCCATGTCTTCTCTCAGCACTTAGAAGACTGTAACGCGCAGCTACCATGTGCACACACAGAAGTCAGTGGGACAAAAACCCATCGTAAGGGCCAAGGGCTACAGTCTTTTATGACAGTCACAGCTTCAAAGAAATCAGCTGCCTGGGTGTTTGCAGAGAAACAGACACACGGACACAGCCTGGATGGGAACTTACCTTTGTAGACGTTCAACGTTATGGTTCTCACAGCGATTCTAACCATGCTCTCGGGATGATTAAAAAATTTGATGGCTTCTGTGTACAGGGCAAAGTCGTTAGTGTGCTACAATACAAAAAGTATCAAAGACCAGTTACGAGTCCATAAGAGGGGGCCTGCCCGCCATCCCAGCCTGCTGAGTTCCATCAAAGGCCCTAAAGTGCTGTTGTGCACTGGGACCCAGGGGGAATGTGGGAGGGGAGCCTGAAGACCCCGGTTTGGAGGCAGGGCCAGGGGGAAAGCAGCAGGAATCCACAACAGAAGTGAAGAGGAATGGGTTC